GTGGCCTTTAATGACCAGTTGATCAAAGCCTGAGTAATGATGGCTGAGTAATTCTTACTTAGGGAGATACTGAAGCTTCTGAGAAGAGCAATGATTGATCAGATCTATGTTTTCAGAAGATAACTTTGGTTACCTTATGAGTGAGACAACTTATGATGAAGAAGATGGCATGTGCAAGAAGAGTTAGGAAGCCATGACCAGGGAAAGCTGATGTAGCTTCAAACCAAGCCAGTGACAATGAGAGTGAAGAGGAGGGAGTAGGAGCAAGTGGGTCTTGAACCTGAAGATGTCCACCGGGCACATGAGGCTAGAGTTCGGCACAAAGGCTGGGTCTAGACAGCTAGCTCTGGAAGTCATAAAGATATTAGTTAAAGCTGTGGAGAGCATAGTACAGCAAGAGATAAGCCAAGACAGACATCTGGGGAACTCTCAGATGTAAAGAACAGATCAAAGAAGAAAAGCTTGACAAATGACCTAAATTGGAAACATTTATACAGATGAGTAGGCACTCAGAGAGTCAGAGTGGCGACGAGAACAGAGAAGGATTTCCCTACACATTCTCAAAACTATAGGTCCGGAGGATCCTGCATTAGATCTCGCTCTGTTCCAACCCCAACCTTCCAGTCTGACTGTCTTCCTGCAGAAAGCACTGGTACTTCTTGGGAATCCACAATATTCTAAAAATACATCAGCTGCGCTGCAGTGCCACAATTAGTGGAGCTGCTGTCCCATGAAACCCTCATCACCATTTTGCTTAGATCAGAGAGCGGATTAACTTTGATGTCTGTCTGAAACCCATGCAGGACACCACTGGTGGTCTGCTCCCTGCAAGCATTCAATCTTCACATCCAAGGAAAAAAGGAGAAAGTGCTGGGTAGGAGCCCAAACCAATTTTTTTTCTCAGTGATTGAGATGAAAATATGCACCCTAGGACTCCTGACATATGTGACTTGCAGTCTGTCTCCCTACATCCCTGAGCTCTTTCTCCTTTTGCACAAATACTTTCCCCCAGACCCAAACTTCCTCTGGCTTTTACAAACATTTGCACAGCTATGAAGCCCCAAGCCCTCCGTCTATGCCATGTGAAAATTTCTGTCGCTATAAGGGCTCCTGGTGCTATTGCAACCAAAACTGACTCTAATCAAAGTTCCTGGGAGCACGTGGGGCGGCCTGTGCAATACGATGAACAGTGGAGAATCAGACCGCAAGAGGGAATGACGGAAACTCCAGGGTTCCAGGCAGGTGGGAGATATACAGAAGTCTCATCAGAATATTAGCAATGATAAAAACTCACTGCAACTGTGCTATCTGTCCTTGTGTCACCATCCTTATAATTCTGATTTCCGTGAGAAAGGACAATTAGACCAGGATAGAACTGGACCCACACTCAGACAGCATGAGCTCACTGACTCTGCAAGGTAGTGTAGGTTGATGGTAAGAGCAGGTCTCTGAAGACAAACAGCCTGAATTTGAATTCCAGCTCTGCCACTTAATAGGTACGTGACCTTGAACTAGCCATTCCTGCTATGCCTCAGCTTCCCCCTCTTAAAATGGAGATACCTACACATGGGGGTTGGTGAGTACTGAACAGATAAACCTGTGATCGTGACTAACACAGGGGAACTGTTCTACAGCCTTGATATTGGTATTGATAGGAATGTACAGGGCGCCTAGATTTACAGTCCAACCGAGAGTGCCAAGATGAGAGGTCATTCTCTGAAAAGAATCAGGAGCTATTATTAGAGGAGGCTGAGTGGCCAAAAAGCAATTACTTGCTATCCATTGCCACATCTCATTTCTCCACCAGACCGTGGACACCATGAGGACAATGGACTCTACTGTTAATTCACTGTTGCCTCCTCCTGCACCTGAAAGGTGCCTGGAACATTGTTCCTGGTTCAGTGAACCTTTGTTGAACACACAGATGTTGACTGCTTCCTTTTTGTGTTCCCAATCAACTAGTTTAATGCTTTCCCCTGAATACGTACACAATAAGTCTTTCCTGATTTAATTTATAGGTCAGTGGAATTCTTGGAAACAGGGAGAACCCTGGGATCAAAGAGATGGACTTAATATTTGGTAGGACTCAGTGGCAAGCAAGTGCTAAGTTTTTGGTGTGATGATGCTAATAAGCTATACAAATGGCATAGATGGCCTATAAAGCAGGGCAATCCTTGACTTGCCGCTCAGGGAGGTGTTAAGCAAATGAAATTACACCCATGGTGATTTCATCTGGGGCTCCTTCTGTTTTCAAAGACAGAACCTAATTCAAATTGGCTTCAGTAAAGAGGGGACTTTGTGTTACCCAGAAGTGCAGGGATAGATCCCATTTTAGGCACAGCTGGCTTCAGAGGCTCAAATGTAACATCAGCATCTGATTTCTATCTCTCAGGTCTCCTTCTGCTGTGTTTTCCTCATTCTCAGTCTCTAAATGGTGGTCCCCAGCAGCTCCAGGGTCTCATCCTTTCAAGTTCAAACCCAGCTTTCCAGCAGCTGGGACAGACCATGGTTGGCTCAAATGGGGGTTATGTGGCCAGGAAGTTGCAGCTATATTTGATGACCAACCCCTATAGTGAGGGAGCTTGGCCAGGCTTGGTCATATGCTTAAATCTTGGAGCTGGGAAAAAGTAAGGATTTGAGAGGGGGCCTGAGAAGCCCCAGCTTGCCTCATGGGAGAGGAGTGGTTTGCCGAAAGATATTCAGGGTACTATCAACAGAAAGCCAAGTGGGTGCTGCTAAAATGACAAATGTGCACTACACCTGGGGATTTTCATATCATGTGATATAAAGCATACAGCACTTCATTCCCTCTTTCTATGAAGTCTCCTGTCCTCACCCTAACAAGCTCCAGCAAGCGCCTGAGGAGCAGCAGCCTCACCCTTCAGTCATCTGTCTTCCTCCTCTGAACCTCTGTAGCCTGCAGGACCACATCACTCACCGGCAACATCGGGTCATTAGTTTTCTTTTTATGTATATGTCCTGTCTCTTCATCCACATGGCAAGATCCTGGAGAGCAAGGGTCACATCTTATTCATCTTTGTGTCCCCCGTAGCACTTTGCCTGGCGTTTGGGGCACGGCTGATGGTTCATAAATCTGCTGACAGATTGAACACCTGATTTATATGCTTCTGGAACCACGGAGGCAGACAGTAGCTTGATTCAACTACAAAACTACCAAGAAAGAGGCAACCTGTGCTCTGAAAGCACACCATTTCTGAAAGATCATACATCTTTTCTGGACTAAATAATGTTGCTGGGTCAAGATGAATATCCTCTTTGCTCCCCAGCTCCCAGCTGCTGGTATCTTTCTTATTTGTAAAAGACGGGAGTGAAGGTCCGAGGAATCTTAGTCTCAGCTGCTCAGTCAGCATACCCCTGGGCAGGTCACACGCAGCCACAGCCCACCCTGAACCATGGAGGATGGTGGTCACAGGAAGACCAAACAGATGTCGGTCTTCAGTGGCCTCCCACCCCAGGCAATAAGGCAGAGCCCCAAGGTCCCATCTGCGGGCTGCCCGCTGGCTCTCTGCCCTGTGCTGATCCCCACTTACTCCCCACCCTCATTTGTAAAGGGAACAGGGGGAGACACGGGAGGGGAAAACGGAGTCAGAAAACGTCTTCTGCAGCATGGATGTGGAAACAACATTCCTCCCAGGCTAGTCTTGGTGCAGAAGCCCTGTGGCTGGGGTTTCAGAATCCCCTGCAGGCCACGCTGGGCCTGGCGATTTGCCCCCTTTGTCTCTAATCCCCTCAGATCACCCTCGGGGAGGCCAAGTGACTTGTCCAAAACCGCGGTTCCCTCACGTATAAAAGGGGCCGACTTAAAAGGGCATTAAGTCAGCTGCTGAAATCAAAGCAGTGGGGGAAGAACAGGACAGCGTGGCTGGTAAAGGAGACAGTGGCAAAAAAGGTCAGCAGAGGTCAGCCTGCTCCCCCTGGCGGCTGAGGGGAGAGCCACACAGAGGTCAGGGCAGGGCCGGGGGTGCAGAACTGGGATCCCGGCGTGGAGAGCGACAGCAGAAACAAACTGCATCTAAAGCCACCTCCAGGGGCCCACAGGTGCAGGACACGGCGAGGGCGGGCGGGAGGCGGTGCGCCGACCGGAGGCCCCG